ACTGAATTTGGCAATGCTCCTTCTGTATCTATTTGGTAGAATCATTTGAAGAGTATTGGTATTAGCTCTTCTTTGAAAGTCTGGTAGAATTCTGCACTAAAACTGTCTGGTCCTGGACTTATTTTTTTTGGGTGGGGGAGAGGAGACATTTAATTACTGCTTTTATTTCCTTGGGGGTTGTAGGTCTGTTTAAAGTGTTTATTTGATCTTGATTTAACTTTGTTAACTGGGATCTATCAAGAAAATATCTATCAAGAAATCTACTTTTAGGTTTTCCAATTTTGTAAAGTATAGATTTTTAAAGTATGACCTAATGATTCTTTGGATTTACTCAGTGTCTGTTGTTATATCTCCCTTTTTGTTTCTGATTTTGCTAATTTAGATGTTCTTCCTGTGTCTTTTAGTTAGTTTGAATAAGGATTTGTCAATCTTGCTGATTTTGCTCAAAGATCGAACTCTTTGTTTCATTGATTCTTTGTATAGGTCTGCCAGGACCTCTAGCACAAGGTAATGTCAAGACTGATAAACTATTGATAGGAAATGTGCCGGAGGCCTCAGAATTTCATTAAAAAATTCATGTCAATAATAAGGATTAGGAAAGGATTTTTCTATAATCTGGCAACAAGCCAAGGCAATTGTAAGGAAATGTCCTTTGTTCTTTTTACAATCAAACTCCACTACCAGCAGGATGTAACCCAAAGGGTACTCAGGGGAATGAAATATGGCAGATAAATGTGTTTTATTTTGTCGAATTTGGAAAATTGAAATATGTACACCACGCCATTGATACCTACACAGGATTTCAATGGGCAACTGCTCTGAGTTCTGAGAAAGCTGATTCTATAATCACACATTTGCTATAAGTTATGGCCATCACTAAATACACCTGTACAAATTAAAATTGACAATGCTCCAGCATATATCTCTGATAAAATGAAACAGTTTTTTGCTTATTACAATATAAAGCATATTACAGGTATACCACACAACTATACAGGCCAAGCAGTCATTGAAAGATCAAATCAAACTCTGAAGGATATGCTAAATAAACAGAGAGGGGTAGCAACAATTCCCAGAAATAGGTTACATAATGCTCTGTTAACTTTAAATTTTCTCTGTGCTAATGAGAAAGGAACAGCTATGGAAAGACACTAGATAATATGAAACACTACAGAATTAAATCAGCTTGTATACTTTAAAGACGGGCTGATCTCAGACTAGAAATTGGGATTTGTATTATGTTGGGGACAGAGTTTTGCTTTTGTTTCTACAGGAGAAGAAGAGCTATGGATGCCATCAAAATTGATAAGGATTCAATTTGAACAAGAGAGGCCTCTTAATTAGAAGAGGTGATGGTCCGTTGACCAGTATGACCATTCAACTTAAAGTAGCTTATACCACTAACAAATGCTTTTCATTTAATCAGATATAACTTGACAAATGAAAACCTCCCCAAAGTTGGGATTGGGGGAGGTTGTTTTTGTCTTTCAGGAGAATGAATCTAAGGAAGCTGAAGAAGACCGGACAAATGAGACATCTGAAGAAAAAGGACAAATCATCCAGGAAAAAAATGTCCCAAGAAAATGAGTAAATTGGCTTATTGGTATATCACTTATCTAACTGGAATAAATTTCATAATTCTTCCTAAATGTTTGTTTCTGATGTTTTCTGTAGATACATGATGCAAATGGTCTTTATGTAGTCCCAGTTCAATTAAAAAATAAAGCTGGCTTTGGAGTTGGAGTTTTGGTTTTGTTCTTCTGTAAACCCAAGCATAATTATTAAAAAGTAAATGTAAAATCTCTGTATCATGTCAGAAGAGCCACCTGATATGGGACAGAAGAAAAACCAAAATTAAGGGACTATTTTATTGCCACTAACCTCATAATTCTTTGGTTCTATTTTGACTCTTTAAAACTTTTTTAAGGTATCAATTTTATATCAAAAATTTTAATATATATTAAACTTTTGTCATGATATTAATGGTCATAGAGAGTAGTCACTAATCCTAGATAAAAGGATTCATCTAGCTTCCTGTACATGATTTTGAGTTTGAGTTGCTTTCAGTTTTCTGCAAGAAACCATGACTGTGCCTAACAGCAACTTTGAAGTCTCCAAAAAGATGATGAGACCCCACAATGACAATTCTATCAGGACGAGGATAACATCACTAAGATGACAAACACCACCTAAAGATCAGCTTTTGATTACAAACTGCTCAGGACAATTATGAGGTAGCTAGATGGGATGATCCATCCTCACAGACCACTCAAGCAAGAAAAGCCCTGCATTTTCACATCATGCAGCTCCTGGACAACAAATGATACAGTTACCTCTTCCAGGACTTGACAATGAACCCAATTTTTTTTTTTTTTTTGTTTTCAGGATCTCCTACAGATGTCTTTGCCCCCAATCAGCAGGAAATAATTTTATGATCACAATGGCCACATTCCCAAGAGGTGGGGTGGTTGGGTTTTTGGTCATTTAATGGGTTATGGATAACTGTTATTGTTTATGATGGTTGATTATAAGTTGTTAATTGATAAAGATCAGGACAAAAGCCAAACAAAAGAAATTAGATTGGGGATTCTTGTTTGGAAAAAAAGAGGATATAGATAAGAGGTATATTTTTTTGTTTTGTTTTGTTTTGTTTTGTTTTGTTTTTCAAGACAGGGTTTCTCTGTGTAGCTTTGTGCCTTTCCTGGAACTCACTCTGTAGCCCAGGCCAGCCTCAAACTCACAGAGATCTGCCTGCCTCTGCCTCCCAAGTGCTGGGATTAAAGGCATGTACCACCAACGCTTGGCAAGATGTAGATTATTAAATTTATTCTGAAAAAAAGATATATAAATGATAGGATAAAGGTTAGATTATTGAATCTACTCTGGAAAGAAAAAAGAAAGGATATAGATATAATAAGATAAAAAGGTAGATTATTGAATCTACTTTTAATAGCAACTACTAGTTTTAAATATTTTATATTGGATTGGATTTTTGTGTATTATATGCAAATATGTATATTGATACAAATTGAGATTGATTTTGTTAGAAAATATTGTACATATATTTCTAATTTTGTTCAAAGTATTTTACCTCTACAGTTCATTTAACAATGTAATGCAAATTGCTAGTCCTTGAAAGTTATTATTACCAACTAATTAGGATAAAAGAAATGCAAGTTAATAGTCATTACAATCAAACTTGTAGTCATATTAGGTATGTTTTCAAGGTCAAAAAGATATATTTTAGAGACAGGTTATCCTCAAACATTTCAGAGATCTGTAGATTATGCTATTTAAGATGTTTTAATAATATAGATATTTTCTTTTGGTATGATAATGAGACATGTCTGCTGCTAGCAGCACCAACCTACTTCAAAGAATATGATGGGTGTGAAGAAATTTCATATGGAATTTACCTTTTTGTGGCAAATTAGCCACTGGGCAAGAAGATGTCCTTGCCTTGACTGCTGGTAGTATGCTGTCCAAAATTGACAAACAGGATACAAAAGAAAGGACTGCTGATCCTTGCCACAACAAAGTAGGAAGGTTCTTTAGAAAATCCTGCTTCACAGATGAGTCTGTCAGATATGTTATGCCTGTAGGCTGAAAATGGATACCCCAACTTTGCAGAGGAATCTTGGGTGACTGTCCAGGCAGCAAGCTGTTTCTGTCATTTCTCACATTTTTTGGAAGTCTCTTGCTTGTACTTGCAGCTTACTCAGTTAATAGTATTTCCTTCTTGGGTCTCTGAAGGAGTTGAAGATTAGATAGTTATAGTTTTCTATGATAGCAAATTCAGAAAGGAAAAATCACTTAAAACATGTAAAGTGTATAAGTTTGAAAGACATCAAAATTTAATGTTCAGTTGGTAATGCAAATTAGGACAGAAGGTGAATTAGATACAATCTTTTGAATTCACAAAGATAGGATAGATAATGGAGTATTTTCTCTGAATTTGTCAAAATCAAATGGACTAGACATTGTTGATGAATTTATTGCCTGTATGTATTGTATATAGTTATTGTACTTATTGTATATGGTTTTTCTTATATTAGTTATAACCTCTTTTTAGACAAAAAAAAAAGGGGGAAATGTGGTGATATTTTATTTGTATTCTAACAAATAAAGCTTGCCTGGGGACCAGAGGACAAAGCCAGCCACCGTTTTAAACATAGAGGTCAGGCAGTGGTAGCACACACCTTTAATTCTAGCACTGGGGAGGTAGAGATTCATCTGGATCTTTGTGAGTTCAAGGCTATACTGGGAACAGAGCCAGGCCTGATGGCACACATCTTTAATCCCAGTGCTAGTTAGCCATAGATGTCTAGAGGTCTGTACAGACAGACAAAAAAAAGTGATAAAGCTGGGCAGAAAGAGGAAGTGATATAGCTGGGTGGAGAGAGGAAGTAAGATGGCAGGGCACAGAAAGGTATATAAGGTGTGAGTACACAGGAAGTAGCTCTCTGGGCCTAAGGATTTCCTAGCAGTAAGAACTTGTGGTTGGTTTGTTCTATTCTTCTGATCTTTCAGCTTTTACCCCAATATCTGGCCTGGGGTTTTTATTTAAAAAACCTTTTAGCAATTCATGTTACAGACAAGTATTTTATCTTGCCCTTCATGGGCTCTCTTCACATTAGCTCCTATGTGCTTCTAATTGACAATATCTATGGATGCTTGTGTAGGAAACCAAGGATTGAATTTTACAAAGTTGCAGAACTGTTGTTTTGATTATTTTGTCCCTCTAAGTCTTAACAAAGATTTCAATAATTGTATCAAATGCTTTGTGTCAAAGGACTGAGAAAAACCATGTTTATTTGACTCTCTGAGTTGTGGTTGCAACCCCTTTGGTGAGAGGACCAAACTCCCCCTCCATGCTTCTATTTAAGGCTTTTCTTATAGTTACTAAGATACAAGACGTGGAAAGTTCACCTTCTAGACATCTGAGTATCAGTCACATAAATCAAATTTTCTGAGTTTCCACCACTCCCATCCTATTTACCTTATAGTCTGAAGTAAATAAATGAAAGAAGCTTGATGATGTACCCTATCAGCATACACAGGATCACACTAATATCTTCTAACCACAAAGTGTCCAATTCAAAACGAGGATCTGAAACTGTGACTGGAAAAAAAGGAAAGAGTCAGGACAGTTGCAGCTGAGAGCAAGGCTAGATTACACATGAAAGATAGCTTTGCTTTTCAGGGTCCTGTTGCTCCATGCCTCCCACATGTACAAGAACAATCTAGAAGAAATTTGGCCTACTTGATTTTGGAGATGAGCATGTTTGTGTCAAGCCTAGGAGAGGTTAAGAGGAGACAGGTACCCATTCCCCTCAAGTAGCCTGGCTCTTGTTCTTAATAGTCTGTCTGAAGAGCACATGGATAGATCATGTTTTTATGTTTTATTTAGTGCAGAGGCTCTTCAAGAGTTCTGGATCATACAGAGAATAATAAAACAGAACATGCTTAGATGATCAGGATCTCTGAAATGGAAGAGATCTTATAATGGTCAAACATTATATTCCCTTGGAAGCATGCTCTCTCTATCCTCATCTTTCTGTCTTCATATCCTAGCTACTATATATCTTCCCTGATAATGTCTATACTATTTCCTCCCTCACCAGACTATCTACTCAAGACCCACCGACTCATTGACAGTCTAGATCCTTGTGAAGAAGGAAGTTTGGTTCCTCCCCATCCACCCACACATGTACCCTCCAGTGTAGGACACAGAGATTCATTCAATGCATCCTTCTAAAAAACTTCAAGTGAGAATAGTTTCCTTGTCCCTCCCCAAGTTTCTGGCTAGCCCTGAAAGGAAATCAAAAGAGACAGATTCATAGGAGAAAAGAATAACAGATTTATTTCACCTAATTTCTATATGAAAGAGCAGCCTTTAGAATGAAGATCCATGACTCAGGATGAATATCCATTTTTATGTTTCTGTTTGATGAAGCATGGGCAGATCTGTGGAAATATGATTGGACAGAAGTACAGAGCCAACAGGGTATGCCAGTTTGGGTTCTTTAGAACTTCTCTTTTTTCCTCCCAGATATAGAATGGATATTTTCCCAGATGAAGTTCTTATGGCCTAATGCTAAAGACAGGAAGGAGAATCTTTGCCTGGCAAGCTCTTTAAAAAAGATGTGGAAGTTAGAGCTTTTCAGGAAAAAATCCACTGTGAATTTGAAAGAAATGCTTTATCTTAGAACAGAATAAACAGTTGCATCTGCTATTAAAGTGTATTAAATTTAAACTCTGGAATCTAGATATTTTGACATGTGTTCTCATGGCCTATTTATTGACCCTATATTTCAAATTCAAGTAACAATTACTCCTCTTTTGTTAAACGTTTTAATGTACTATTTGAAGAAGACTTTTACAGGATGGGACCAGCCTCTTGCTTACATACCTCTTTGTTCTCGATGTAAAATGAGCATTACTCCCATAATTGCAAGCACTGAGGTTATGAGTAGCACTGAGCCCTTTAACAAATAAGAAAATCTCTCAGAGCAGATACCTAAAGAAAAAAAAATGTTATTATCATTTGACATTTGTATGGAGACATGCTACATTTGAAAAAAATGTATCAAGAAAGCAAGAGTTATTGTGGGTTATGTGTGTGTGTGTTTTAAAGTTTTAATTTAAATTTTTTTCTTTTAATTTTTGAGATTATAATATAATTATATAACTTCCCCCTTCCATTTAAGAGGAACTATTTCCAGGATAATGTGGAAATCAATATAGAGGGGAATATCAGGGTATAAGTATAAGGGCTATTTTTAATGCTTTCTCCTTGTATTCATTATAAGAGGGAAAGTTTCAGAAATAGAATATAAGATGACAGGAGTAAAGGGATAGCTTTTTTAAGGTGGGGCATCATTGGGATTGAGACTAAACAGAACCACAGGAAAGTGATCATATTGTCGTCCCCCCCCCCCAATTTTTGCCTCTGCTTCAATTTAGGATCTCCTACCCAGACAATCTTGCTTTTCCATTCACCTTGCACATATTTAAAATGTTTCTTGTATCTATGTAAACTCTACAATCCACAAATGAGGAAAATTGTGATATATGTACGATTTCTGAATTATGTCAGTTAAAAATATCAGTTTCCTGGTTTATTCACTGACAATTCTGTTATTTATAACAGAATAAAACTCCAATATGAATGAATACCACATTCTTATATATTTTTACCTGCTCCTTTGTTCACAGACATTAAAACTGATTTCATACTAGGCAATTGTGAATAGGGCTACAATAAATTGAGATGCACAAGTTATCTCAGTTGTATGGTGACTTGGAGTCTCTGGGTGTAACACCCAGTACCAGTAATACTGGGGCATATAAAGTTCTAATTTAGGTTTCTGAGGTATATTACTGTATGATTTGTCATGGAGAGAAGTGACAAATAACAACCACAGATATGACATCTACAACAGAACAAAGAAAGTATTTCACCAGGTCCAGTTTGATGGACTAGTGAGTTTCCTGGGATTACTTGCAGGAACATGGTTGACTCAGGGTATAATTAAAAGATCTTTCCCAGTATGAATGGCAAGTCATGAAAATTGCTTCCCTGGAGCTCTTTGCTTAACTTATAAGCAATTTCCACTAAAAATATCTTCTCCCCAGAATTTGTTTACTAATTTTATAACCAATAATGAGGATGAGAATTGTGAAATTTGTAAGTTGTCTGAGATTCCTGATCCTTTTAAATTTCCTTGTCTTCCTAAGTGTTATGAGCCTTCCTTCACTCTCCAGAAAAAAAAAGGTTTCTAATTGAAGGAGATATCCATAGAACACTCCACTCCTTCTTTCAGTCCTTATATTCTTTTGATGCACTCTTATGACATTTTCTAAACTTTGGAGAAAGTTGTATAAATGTCTATTATTTTTTCATTATGGCTGAAATTTGGGTCACTATGTTATAGCAAAAGTCACTTATTCTTAGAGCTTGGCTACTTACAAGTCTACATGGGGAATGCAAAAGAGAAATTTCATCTACATTCTAATAGCATAAGTACTCTATGGGTAGAAACACTCATGTTTAGAATACAATTTAGTAGGCACTTCACAACTGTTTATCAAAACAGTAGTAGTTGACATAGCATTGTTTGGTGCTATGAAACCCAGAAGTCAGGGAGGGAGCTTCCATCTATGTCCTCTTCTGATTTTTATGTTAGATAGTCAAAGGGTGTAGTGTCTTTAGCAACAGGCATTATCATATAGTTTTGACATAATCAACAGCAGTATAAATAGCCTTTGTCATTTGTGAGGACTTAGGACTTCATTGGCTCCAGCAGCTTCCTAAAGAGTTATTTCTCCTATGACAATATATCATTTTGGTTCTTAGCAGTGTCCTCTTATTGGTTTTTACTTACACATGGGGATTTGCAAAAAGTTCCTTAACTGTTGTTTTCACAGATGTTTTTCCAAACATCTGCGAGACACTTGTGAGTTAGCCATACAAAATCAAATTTCTTTTACAGAGGGTAGACAGGTTCTTTAAAGGCTCACTACTGTTTACTTCAAGCAAGAGTCAATTGGTTCTAGAGAGGTAAAAGAACACTAACAGAGAAACATGAGCTGGGATGAATAGTGCATAAAAAGACCCCATCATTTGTATTAATTATTTCATTACAAAAAGTAATATTGGTACAAATACATATACAGGAGAGACTAACCATCCAGCCCTAAACAATCCAATCATATCCCATAAGCCATCTGTCCCCACATCCTGGGTTGCTGTTTTTGCAGGGATCCTGTGGATCTTTCTACTCTAGGTAGTCCCCAACCTGTGCCATTTTGTGCTGCTCATCATGGTTCATGCTTAAGGAAGAACAAACAGGGTAATATATAGCCTCCTGTGCTGCAGCTGGCTCCCTGCCTCTGACTAGTTCTTAACCAGAAACATAAACCCATTTCTTCATCAACCATATCTGGTTATTGAAAGATAGTTGATGAGAATCTTCACTTGTAGTTTACTTATTTCATGGGATAAACATACATCACATATTGAGGCAGAGAATAATTGCCCTTCTCTATAACAACCTCAATAATTTTCATCTGATGCTTTATCATCTATGCCTTGAATGAACTTTTTCTCGGGCTTTTAAGCCTTCTAGAAACTCACAGGTATATAGCATTTGATATTTTGATGAAAATTTCCCTAAGCATTCCAGTTGTCACATTTGACTTTGAGTGAACATAGCAGACCTTTTTGTATACAACTTCATGTGTTTATCACATCTGCATTGCATTAGCCCTTTAACAACCCAATTTAATTACCAATTTAAGTCATCTAAATCTATCAAAACCTCTTCTACCTCACAAAGATCACATCCCACTATGGGGCTCAGCCAAGCTGTTGAAGTTCCATACCAGAAGCAGAGTTAACTTTTTCCTTGAGTTTTCTGCAACCAGATTCTAACCAGCCTGGTAAACAGGGTACTGATACCACCTCCTATATTCCAAATTCCCTTGGTGATACCTATCCTTCTTCTATTGTCTTCCAATCTGTAACACAAATTGCTAAATGGTTTTATTAACCTGGATTAAGATAATGGGGTGAAACCTGAAAGATCAGAGGGACAGAACAAGCCAGCCACAAGTTCGTACCACTAGGAAATCATCCACCCAAGAGAGATAGTTCCTGTATACTCATGCCTTATATACCTTTCTGTGTCCTGCCATCTTACTTCCTCTCTCTACCCAGCTACATCACTTTCTCTTTATGCCTAGCTCTATCACTTCCTGTCTGTCTGTACAGACCTCCAGACCTCTATGTTTAACTAGTGCTAGGATTCAAGGCATGTGTCACTACACCTGGCTCTGTTCCAGTGTAGCCTTGAACTCACAGAGATCCAGATGAATCTCTGCCTCTCGAATGTTAGGATTAAAGACATGTGCTACCATTGCCTGACCTCTATATTTATTATAGTGGCTGGATTTTTCCTCTGGTCCCTAAACAAGCTTTATTTGTTAGAGCACAAATAAAATATCATCACATTTTCCCTTTTTTTCTAAAGAAGGTTACAACTAATACAAGAAAAACTATATACAATAAGTACAATAACTTTATATAATACATACAGGCAATAAATACATCAACGATGTCTAGTCCATTTGTATTTGAGAAATTCAGCAAAAATATTCCATTATCTATCCTATTTTGGTGAGTCCAAAATGTACCTAATTCACTTTCTATCCTAACTTGTATTACCAACCAAAAACTATCTTTTGATGTCTTTCAAACTTATACACTTTACACCTCTTTAGTGAGTTTCTTTTCTGAATTTATTAACAAAGAAAACTATAACTATCTTATCTTCAACTGACTCAGAGAACCAAGAAAGAAATAATATTACTTAGTTAAACAGAAAGTGCAAACAAACAACTTCCAAAAAATGTAAGGAATGACATGCTGCTAGTTGGAAGTATAGACCCACTGCTTCCTGGAGTTGGTGGTAGGCATACCTCCACCATGTTGGGAAGCTGATATGGGTGCAGTCAGCAGCCAAGCCTGCTGTTAGTCCTAGCCATGCAGTTTAGCAGTTTAAAATCTCTCCTTGTCAGAGAAGGATTATAGATTCACAATAAGACAGATTCAGGTAGAATAAAACTCTAAATGGTTTACAGTGTAAATAAAAATGTATGTAGTCTTGGAAGAGAGAGGAAAAGGAGTATATGCAGTTATATAAAGAAATAGTTTTAAAAATCAAGTCTTTAAAGGGACAGTAAAATAACATAATAAGCCATGTAAAGATGGAAATCACACAGAGAATCTGGATTATATTGTCTTTGGGATTTTTTCATTTTATTTTATATAATAGTTTTTCTAGTCATTTTACATATCAACCACAGATTCCCCTGTCCTCCCTCCTCCCACTTCCCAACCTTCCCCCTCCCCCAAACCACCCCCCATTCCCACCTCCTCCAAGGCAAGGTCTCCCCTGGGGAGTCAGCCCAGCCTGGTACATTCATTTGAGGCAGGTCTTTGGGATTTTTAACTGCAGAAAGACATGTGATTGTAAAGGCTGCTGAATTAAACAAATATATGTACTTTAAAGGTATTTTGACTTCAAAATTTGTCTAAGGATATGTTGCTTTGGAAAAGAGGTTCTGCTTTTGTTTCCACAGAAGATGAGAAGCTGTGAATTCCTACCAGATTAATATGGTTCTATCAAGGAAAAACCCCTTAGAGGTCTCCAGATGATCCTGCATCCAGAACAGATTCAAGGCAACTGGTTTAGAGAATACAGCCTCATAGACTATTCAAGTCAGGACTTGACCATAACTCTAAAATATTCTTTCTGTCTTCATAGGACTACCAGCACCACCAATCAGCAGAGAGTAGCCTAGAACACTACACCCAAATTCCCAAGAATGGATTATGGATGCTTGTCCTTACTTGGGTTTTGGTTACAAATTGTTGTTGGTCATAGTCAATCTCTTTCTAAAAAAAGAAAGGGGATATTATAGATAATATAGATGTAGGATATAGATATGATAGGATGGAAGAGTAGATCACTGAATCTACTTTGAAAAAGCAACAACTTATTTAAAATGTTTTACATTGCTATGGATTTTGGTTTATTGATACAAATTTAGTTAATTTTGTCATACTATATATATTTCTACTCTTGTTTAAGGTATTATGTTTATGAAACTCATTTAAAATTGTAATGTATAATTGAGAACTACAGATTAATAATTTGTCATCTATGATAATCAAATTTACAGTCTTGTTGGTTAAGTTTTCTAGGTATACATAGATACATTTCAATTAGGCATGTAATCTTCAAATACTTCAAAGACCTACAGAACATGGCATTTAAAATGTTGTAAGAGATTTGACTTTTCTGGACATTTGAGATATATCTGCTCCTGGCAGCATCAATCTACTTCATCTACTTCAGAGAAGATGATGAGGATCTAAGAAACTCCGTATGGATTTTGCTTTTTTTATGGCAAAAGTTAGTCATTTGGGCCAGAAACTGCTCTTGCCTGGATTGCTTGACAGTATGTTGTATAACCTGGACATGCAGGACCCATGGCAAAATGACCACTAAACTTTGCCAAAACAGGGTGACATGGTCCTTAAGGTTCCTACTTTGTAAAAGAAGTTGCCAGACATTCTACAGGACACAGGGAGAAGCGACTGATGAACTTTGCCAGAATGGATGGAATAGTCCTTAAAATTTCCTGCTTCACTAAAATGTCTACAAGAGACTGTAGGCCTATTGTCTCAAGATGGATGCCCCAACCTTGCAGAGGACCTGTGGGCGACTGTCCAGGCAGCTAGCTGTCTCTGTCATTCTAGATTTTTGGAAGTTGCTTACAATGTTCTTCCTGTTTACTTAGGTAATATTGTATCTTTCTGGGGTCTTTGATGTAGTTGAAGACTAGATAATTATTATTATAATTTTCCTTGGTTATGACAAAAGATAAATTATTTATGAAACTTTAGACTCACCAATATAGGATAGATGATAGAGTATTTAATTTTTTCAAATACAAATAGACAAGATAATGTAACTATAATTTTTACTTGATAACTGTTCTCTTATATGTAATTTTACTATGTTAAAGTTAAAATCTTCCTTTTTAATTAGACTGAAAAGGGGAAGTGCTGTGGGATGTCTTTCTGTATGCTGTGAATATGTGTTTTGTTAATATGATTAACAAATATGATTTGTTAATAAAGAAGCTGCTCTGGTTTATGGCAAGTTAGGTTATAGCTAGGCAGAAAATCCAAGAGAAAGACAGGAAGAAGAAAGGCAGAGGTGGGAGAGATACCAGCCTGCCACCCAAGGAGCAACATGCCAGCAGACCAGTAAAGCCTTGGAACACATGGCAAAATATAGATTAATATAAATGGGTTAATTTAAGATATAAGGGCTAGCTAGCAAGAGGCCTATCATAGGCCATAGCATTTGTAAATAACATTAAGCCTCTGAGTGATTATTTTATAAGCAGCTACAAGGCTGCAGGGCTGGGAGGGACCAAAGAAAACTTCTGACTACATGAATCCTTGATAGTTAAGGGAATCTTGTCTTAAGACTGTTAAGTGTTTCCAGTGTCTCCTGTGAGTCAATCCATCCAGACTGATGTCCTTATATCACCTCATGTTATGCGGGATGGATAGTTACATTACTGTTTCTCTAGTACTGTGAAACTTATATTAGCCCCATCTGCTTCCATATCCTGCAGTTTCACAATCCAGGTTCTGAGAAACTCAGTTTTTGTTTGTATGTTTTAAAGTCTTCCCAATTTTAAGCCATACAGATTTCAGCTGATCATAATTTTGTTGCCTTTCCTTTCCATGATATTGAAATCATACTTAATGCATATATTCTATCACTGTTACCTCATGACTTTTTTCCTCATCTTTTGATTTTTTACAGTGACTTCTAAGTTTTTTGTTCTGAGGGAGAGCTCCTCAGCAAAGATCTAACTCATTCCCTGCTTCCAGCTGTAGGAAATTGCATATTGATATCTTCTCATCCTCCCTTTGTTTCTCTTTTCTTGTCAAATCAAAGACTTGTGTGGAGGAGAGCAACATCCTTATATCTTTTTGTATAGTCATATCTCACTCATGTGAGAAAATTACTTCTGGGCAGACAGATGAGCCTCGGTTTAATGTCTTATCACTCACAGAAAAGGCATATGAATGCTGACAGAGCTTTCTTATGAAAGAAGTATATGTCACTTTCAGAGACTGCAATATATAGTCCACCAGGCATTTGGGGTGCTTCTCAATACTCAACATGAAGCAGATCCCATTCATCAATGAAGCATTCCACCTGGTGCCATGTAAAAGGAGATTTCCACATGTAAGAACATCCTTCCCCCAAAATGCTCTCAGATATCTCAGTCTTGGTTTCATGATTTATAACTCTTCATAGTGAACACACAACTTTCACTACAGAAAAGAAGCTCATCATTCCATATCACATGGGTGATGTTATTGATATTGAGATTGACCTGCACAGATGCCTTACCCTCAGACTGATCACAATTAGATAAATCAACCTTAAATTGTACACTGTATGCACTAGGCAGCAACTCCTCCCCAACAATTTCTGAGCAGACAAAAAACAAAAATTTATTCACTTGAACAGGCCACTCATGACAGAAAGAAGATTCCACATAAGTGATTAGTGAACAAATGAGTTTATTCAGGATTACTCACAAGATCATGGGTAGACAGTTAATTGCTAGAGTCCAAATAATCAAAAAATGGATACTACTGAGTGGCTTACTCCAGCATGGGACATACACTAGTTACATCTTTACATCTCCCTGGTCAGCTTGGAAATCAATCAACACAGGTAAAAGGTGTTTCAACTTGATGAAAGTAAAGGCAGCACCAGCTTTTGTAAACAGTATTGTGAGAAACTCTACCAGCAGAAGCAGAGAATATAGGACTAAGAAGTGGGTAAGATTCTATATAACATGTGACTAGAGAGTTTAGGATTTCCTTGGCAGTCTGACTTGGGAAGCAATGACTGAATAGCTTTAGCTAATTCCCCTTCTTCTACTTTCGTTCCACAACACAAACCTACTTACCATATATGAGATATTGCTGAACACAGTAAGTCACAATGAAGGCTATCAGAACGGATGCTATCATAGTCATAATCCACATCCAAACACATTTCCATGAGAATAGTTCACCTGAAACACGAGTTACAAATCTTATCACTGAGAAAACTTGGATTGTACATACCTAGTTAGCAATGCTGACTCATCTGAAGCTTGTTACAATTTAAGAGTCTACCTCCCTGGAATAGTAGGCCTACACAGGTGTGGAAAAGCAGTTATAATGGGTTGGGTAAAGATCATGCCATGATACAGATATAGAGATACAGAACAGCATAGTAATACAGTTGCACAATAGGTAAACATGAGACTAATAAGAAAGGAAGCAAAGTTAAACAGGTAGGGAAATAGTGACCCCCAGTTGCGTGAGGCAGGCAGGTTGTATGTTTCAGGTTGATTATCAAGGTAATACTTATGAGGAAGTGAGATTTGAATGTAGAATTGAAGGAGATAAGGAAAGTTAGTTGAATTTACATTATTCTGTAAGAAGAAACAACTAGAGGAAAAATCTGAAGGCTGAACTCATTTATATGGATGTGTAAATAGATGAGATGGAGAAGGAGAACATTAGGAGATGAGACTATGAAGGTAACAGGGGCACAGGTAACTAAAAAAATTTGGAGATAGTTACCTATAACTAAACAGGGAGCAATTTCAGGGTACTTAACCAAAATGGTATTTTTAAGTAATTTGTTCTATGTCCTATGTTCAGGATATACCATCACATACTAGATAAAAAATAGGAGAGTTTTAGTATGCTATTTCTAAATCATAATCTATAATTCAGACTTAGATAATGGTGAGAAGTGATGAAGAAGGATCTAATTATTAATCTGATTTTTTCTCTCTGATTCATTCTTTCTGACTTGCTGGATTCCTAATTTCATTTTAAATTCCCGACTCCAGGTCTACACCAAATATAGAGTCACCCCTCACCAAATTCCTTATAGACATTAACCTTTTTGATATGAAGAATATTCAGTGCTCTGTTCAAAACCTCTCAACTCTAGCTTTTGTTTGTTCATGTCTGTATAATCTCAAGGCCTATATTGTCACTGTGAGGCCATCCTTAGACTTGTTCTATAAGTGTGACCAGAGTGAAATTAAATTGCCTTTTTTATTTTATCATCAGGTTTTACACACATTTTTCTTTTTAGGATATGTGACTAAATCTGTATCATTAGAACCGCCACAGTCTGGGATCCTGAGTCAGACAGTTGTCTTGAGACTCCAGTAATAATGAGACTCTGGTATATTTTAATAGTAGAACTAGTATATATGAATGTGATAGAAAATGGAAGCCACGGGTGACTTTAGTGATTTAGTTCTGAGAAACTGAAAATATGAAATGCTACTTCAGAGCACTAAATTAAGCAAACTTTAGAGTAACCACGAGTTTAGTTCTTATTGTGCTCATTTTATATTTATTAAACTTTTGGGTTGACTTATAAGTTTTCAGATGAGAGCAGAAAAAAAGGAGGAGATATAAGTTATGGAAGAGTGAGAGTTCTGGTGTTACTTAAAGCCATGAGATAAAGGAAGTCAGAAGAGAGTAAGGCCTCAAAAGCTATGCCTTAGAGCCTTGGATATCAATATGCCAATTAGTTTTGTTGACTTCACACAAACTAGAGTCAACTGGGAAGGAGAAACCCCAATTAAGGCATTTCATCCTTCTGATTGGACTTAGGCCGTGAGTGCAGGCATTTTCTTGACTGATGATTAATGTGGCAGGATCCAGGCCCCTGGAGGTGGATGGTGCCATCCTTCATCAGCTATTCTTGAGTTTTATAGGAAAGCAGAGAAAGCCATTGTGAACAAGCCAGTGAAAAGTGTTCCTCTGTGGTCTCCACTTCAGTTCCTGCCTCCAAGTTCCTTTTGAGCTCCTGCTCTGGCTTCCCTTGATGAAACACAAAGATGTAAAAGTGTGATCCAAATAGACTCTTCTCCCATTCCAATTTGTTTATGATCATGATGTTTTATGACAGTAACAGAAAGGGAATCTACAATAGTCCAGACTATAGACTGAGAAAATAAACACATCAGAGAAAGAGAGACAACAAACTAGATGATGAGTAAGGCCAAGAGAATGCAAGCCCTTAGTAACCAAATCAAGGAAGAAGTGATACATAAATATGTGTGGCAATGGATGTCACTTAAAAACAAACACGTTTTACCTGATAGAACAATATTTATGCTTTCTTCTTGGTGAGTTAGATGGTTTTGAAGATAGCAAGTAACATTCTTGTGGGAACTTGCTTCAATAAAAAGGGCCATTGTCATGTTGAACAATTTGTTTCTGTCCTGTGAATGGGATTTTGATGTTGCTGGAATGACTTCTCCTTTGCTATCTCTCCATTCCATACGAGGCTGTGGGAACCAACCTCCCGAATGACACTCCAACATCACACCTTTGGTATTAGGGGAATGCATAAGAATCTGTATGTCTGAGCTTGTGACTAGTTGACAACAAAAGAGGAAAACAATATTGTTAGGTACAAATGGAAGAGGAAATGACAGAAAAATAAATGCTCTTTTCAGTTTTAATCCCAGTTTCAAAAGACACATAGATAATAAAACTCTATACGTTTCTGGTTGCCTCATGAAAATGACAAGAGCCAGATGGAAAGGCTATAGTTCACAGTCACCAATCTGTCCAAACTAGATCAGCTGAGAAAAGGCCCATTTCACTTGTTTATTCATTTATTTAAAGCATATTTTTAGGTTATTTACTGAGTCTAAGAAATTAATCTATGTCTTTGGATTATGGTGAACAGAAATCAAGATTTTGAATCTTATAGAATTTATAATTTAAATTTTTTTTGATCAAAGTCACTAGTTATTTTGAGCCACTGTAAATAGATTATAAGAATGAATTTCATTATAGCACAACTGTGGAACTCTACTTGAATCTTTGTGTATGTCTATAACAGGTAATTTTATAATTTGGGAACATTTGAAAGTAAAACTACTAGGAGAAAAGGATATACTGTGTGGCACAAGGTAGCTCCCATTGCCACTAAAACCAATGAAGGGATGATGGAAGAGTGGGAAAGATGGAGGAGCAAAGTATTCGTTTGTTATTGTTTTGCTTTTCTTGCTGTTATCATTTTTTTCAATTAATATTTCAGTTCTTTATTTTTTTTAATTTTTCTTTGCAGGGGTGAGGGTGGGGCGCTAGCTACAAGGATAAAGGGCCAATACAGAGGGACTGGGAGGTGAGTGAGATTGAGGTGGATGATGTGAAATTCCCAAAGAATCAGAAAAAAAAATTATATTAAAAATGTGTTTAATATAAAATAGATAATACATTAATAGTGTGAAGTACATGTTAATTTAGAGAAAATGAACATGTATGAAATTTTTCCAGCATATTTATGAGGCCTAAAACATGCCTAATGTATAGGACAAAAGAAAATGAATGGAGATTTAAAGCACTGTACCAAACCTGCTCTGTCTAGTAAAGTGTCCCTGGAATAACAAAAATATTATATATCTGTGCTAACACAGTTGCTTTTTGCCTCATTAGACTATTGAAAATGGCAATGATTAGCTTTTTGTCCCATTAGACCAATAAATGTTGCAATGAGCTACACTGTATAATTCTGCTCTATGTTACAGAGGTGTCACGTGACAGCCAGTAAAGATTATTCATCTGAGTCTAGAGTCCTACATGTATGTGCTCACATTTATATAATTTTTTCAGTTTCTTTTAAACCCGTAACCTTCTCTCCTTTTATTTTTAATCCAAAATAATTCAGAGTAAGGAAAGTAGCATAAATGCTATATAGTTGCCTTTATTTCATATATAACATTGTATGTGAGGATAGTGATGATTGTAGCTAAAAACTTTTGATAAAGGTTCAGAAAAATTAATCAAGTACTAAGTAGTCAGTGAATTGATTTGGAATTGAAATGGAAATAAGTATTATTAGTAAAAAGAATATTTTTCTTTCTTTCATTAAAAATTTTCACACAATGTTTTGTGATTATGTTTTTTCCCTGAAATTCCTCCCATGTCCTCTCCACCTCCATACCCTCCCAACTTTATAGTAAAAAGCATGTTTTAAAAATTCAGTTCATTTAGAAAATTACTAAAGTGTTGTTAGAGATATTTGAAAGGGTAATAAAATAATCTAAAAGGAAGCTGATTATATGTTAGAAACCTAACAGTGTATATAGGAATAATAAGAAAGTGTTTACTGATAGAACCACTCTCTGCATTGTAGTAATTTTCATTTTTGATCTTTCATGACATCCAACTAAAAAATTAATAGTAAAGAAGTCATCTTGCTAATCAAACCATGCAAAAAGAGTCAAACACTGATAGTTTTCCAACCACTAAACCCTCATAGGCTTTGAATCATGGGTACACAACAGTCTCAGGTAGGAATCCATGCCTACCTGTGACCTTGACCTCTGTGATGTGCTCTTCATAGAATTCACCATCTTTGAAGATGCAGTGGTATGGTCCATCATCATCAATAGTCACATTAAAGATCGTGAGGGTCACTTTCCCTTCTCCAATGGCATCTTTCAGGAGTTCTGTCCTCTCCACATACATGGAGATAGTTTCTCCATGCAGGTCTTTACCATCCCTGTACAGGTGCACTGGCTGCGTATAATGGTTCCTGAACCAGCGAATCTCCATGTGCTGTGCATTTTGTGGTGGAGACAATTGACAACTGAGTTCAAGGGTTCCACCCAATGAAGCCAAGACTGGCCTAGACAATCCAGTCACTGTGAATTCTTCTGTGAAGGAGAATAATCAAAAGACAAGAATGTGAATTAGTAAATATATTCATACCTTTTGTTGAAATCATTCTCTCTGTTAACCCTCTTCTATCTTCTCCCCCCCCACACACTTTCTCAAATATCCACACATACTTTATGGAAGGTCACTTTGTTTATCCTGAAGGCATTTAAATTACTAATTACTTAATAGATACTAAAGCAGAAAGTGTTACTACAAATGGTTCAAGATGATTTTAAGGTACTATTGGAGATGTTGAGTCACTTCAAGACAGGCTGGATTCAAGATAAATTAAGGCAATGTGCAAGTCTGGGTCAGGGGAAATTGTAATATGAGATTATGTCATGTAGTGGAAATTTTGCTGAACTCAGGCTCCAGGGACAGTAGAGAATAAACAGCCAGTGTGTATTGTGATGCATGCAAAAGGATTGTAGCTGGCACTTTGTCGTAAATCCTCCAATCCTTGAAGTCAGCACAGGAAAGACTTTCTGAACAGAACACCATTAGCACAGGGTCTAAGAACAACAAAGAAATGGGACCTCATGAAACTGAAAAACTATGCAAGCAAAGTTGAACAAAGATGTTTGCCAACTACATATTTGATAGAGGGCTAATATATAAAATACATAAACAATGTAAAAATCTAGTCACCAAGAAAATAAATAACCCAAGCAAAAATGGGGTAAAGATCTAAACAGAGAATTCTCAAAGAGAACACCGAAATGGCTGTGAAACACTTAAAGAAGTGTTCACCATAATTAGCCACCAGGGATATGCAAACTAAAAGTACTTTGAGATTTCATCTTATACCCTTTAGTTACATTTGTCAATAAAAGAAATGACAGCTCATGCTGGTGAGATGTGAAGTGAGAGGCACAAGCATCCATTGCTAGTGGGAATTCAAAATTGTATAGTCACGTAAGAAATCAGTGTGGTCATTTCTCAGAAAGCTGAGACTAGATCTACCTGAAGATCTAGCTATTCTACTCTTGAGCATATACCCAGAGGATGCTTTATCCTAACTACAAAGGCACTTGCTCAATCATCTTAATTGCACCTTTATTCATTATATTAAAAAATTGAAAAGAGCCTAGGTATTTTTCAATGAATGAATGGATAAAGAAAATGTTGTACATCCATACAGTGGAATATTATTATTCATCCATTTAAAAATGTGAAATGAAGTTCACAGGTTAATAGATGGAGCTAAAAAGAAAAATCATTATGAGTGAGGTAATCCAGACCAAGAATGATAAATATAGTATGTATTGACTTATATGTGGATGTTAGCTTTAAGTCTTCAATAAGAAAGCTACAATCTATATAACCACAGAGGCTAGGTATAAACTGAGGGGTGAGGAGGGATGGACTTTCCTAAGAAGGGAAAATAAAATATGTAGCTGTGGGTGGACAGGGATGTAATGGGAGGACCAAAAGGGGATGGGGAGTGAAGAGGAAGGAAATGGAAGGAAATACAGAGACAGCCAAAACTGAGGCCCATTTCTGGGGCCGAATGGAAACCCAGAAAAATAGGAGATTACTAAAGTTGTTTCATACATATATACAAAGGCAATCCAAATGAAATAACCCAATAATGGGGGAGACAAAGCCACAACTGGATATTTCTTGTCACCAAAGGAAACTTTCAGTACCAGAAAGGAGTCTAATTCAGGTGAAACCCAAGCAAATGTGCATCAGTGAAATTTATCATTGGAAAATCAGCTTTTGCTAGAATATTCTACATCTATTATATCATCCATTGTCTAAGTCTTTTCTTTTAAATGTCTTCAACTAATCTGCATTTATTTGTGGTTTACACAGATGTTCCTGCAAATCTCATTATCCTAGCCCATTTCATCTTCCCTCATCTCACATCCCTCCACCCCCGCTGCACTGTATTCTTAGCTTTGATGGATTTTAATCTGCATCTTTTGTACCAGTTCCTCAGTGTAAAGGTGATATGTAAGTCCTGTACATTCAGTTTGAATATTGAGTCCTCAAGGCAAGTATTCTATCTCTTTCATTGCACTTCCTTCCTGGAAGCTGAAACAAACCCAAGTAAAGATTATTTGCTGATTAGACATAATTACTTCCTCCTCTAAGCTGGAAACTCTTGTGATTGTCTTCAACTCATTGCTACATTCAAACATTAGGGACAATGATTTCAACACTCTGTTCTTTGTACTGTACCTTGATTTTGCTGGCATGCTTGACATTGCTAAGATTCATAAGGGCAAGTGAGAGTCATACCTGAACTCAGTGCCACTATCAGAAGGAGGTACAAGACAACACAGTTTGTGACAAGAAGTACTCCTGTAGTTCCCATTACACCTATAAGGAAACACATTAGATGAAAGTATAGATTATATTTATTTTAACTGTCTGCTCAATTCCCAATTTCTCTATAACCCTAATATCTTGCCTGATGTGTGTATGATAGATATGAAAAATCTATCACATTTGACTCCTGGATCAAAGACCAAAATACTAAATAACTTATTTTAAGAAAAATCTAGTGCCGGGCGGTGGTGGCGCACACCTTTAATCCCAGCACTCGGGAGGCAGAGCCAGGCGGATCTCTGTGAGTTCGAGGCCAGCCTGGACTACCAAGTGAGTTCCAGGAAAGGCGCAAAGCTACACAGAGAAACCCTGTCTCGAAAAACCAAAAAAAAAAAAAAAGAAAGAAAAATCTAAATGTTTATGATATATCCTTCTTGAATTTTGAATGAATAAAATAAAATGACGTGTGTGTGTGTGTGTGTGTGTGTGTGTGTGTGTGTGTGTTTGTGTGTGTGCGCGCACACGCGCGCACATGTGTGTTTTATCTGCATATATGTATGGACCATTTGTATTCCTGGTGCCTACTGATGTCAGAAGAGGTTGTTTTATCTCCTAGAACTGGAGTTAACCATGCTTGTGAACCAGTATATGGATGCCAGAACTAAATCTGGGTCCTCTGAAAGAGCAAAAAGTACTCTTAACTACTGATACATTTCTCCATCTGTCTTTTTTATATATTTTATTAATATATACTATTATACATAATGCATGTCATTATGACATTTTCATACATGTATGTACTTTGTATTCACTGCCATTGCCCTCTCTTGTGGCCTCCCAGTCCCACTAATCTTCCTCTTTCCAAATACTTTCCCTTATACTTTCATGTCTTTTTAATTTTTAGGATAATCCTTTGAGTTTAATTAGGATATTTTACAGGACCATGGTAAAGTTCTGTTTACAGGAACATGGATCACCAGTGGCTACACCACTGAAAAAGTGTATCCTCCCCTCCCCAGCAATTATTAGCTTCCTATTGAGCCTCAGAGTGGGATGAGGTCTTGTGAGTTCCTCACTTTTCCACAATAGAAATGGTGGCACTAATCCTGTTCAAGTCTTGTGCAGGCAATCACAGTGGCCCCACTATCTCTCCTAGATAATTGTATTTTCATACCTTTTTATTTTCTTTCTTTCTTTTAATTAATTTATTTTTTAAAAGCTTTTTTTTTTCATTTTACATACCAATACCAGTTCCCCCTTCCTCCCCTTCTCCCGACCCCCGACATCCCTCAGTCCTTTCCCTCTCCTCAGAGGTAAGACCTCCCTTGGGGAGTCAATAAAGTCTGGCACACTAAGTTGAGGCAGGACCAAGCCCCTCCCCATTGTGTTAAGGCTGAGCAAGGTATCCTACCCTAGGGAATGTGTTCCAAAACAGCCATTTCATGCACCCAGTCCTGGTCCCACTGCTAGGGCCTCCCCAAACAGATGGACCAAAAAAAGTCACATATTTTTAAAAGAACACATATCTTTCCATCTTCTTCTTCTTTCCAAATTTTAATGATAATGATTCTTTTCTCTACTATATCAAGTTTAAAAAAATATTTTGGATTTGAAATAGAATTACATTACTTTCCCTCACCCTTCCCTCCCTCCACCTTCTCTCACATCACCACTCTCAAACCAATAGCCTCTATTTCTTTATTATTGTTATACACATACACACATATACATATGAACATGCATATATATACAAATGTATATATGTATATAACAACATCATTACATTGCAATAAACAATAACAACATTATCATAACAAAATTAATAAAGAAAATGTATATATACATGCATATATATGTGTATGTATGTGCATGTGTATATGTAGAAATATATATAAACACAGCATACTGAGTTATTTTTTCTGGTTTGTATGTGTATGGTTTCAAGGCTGACCACTCGCATTGGACAAACATACTGGGGCTCATTTCTGGGAGAGTCTAAATCTCTTTCTCCCTCCCAGGAGTTGTTAGTTGTCTGTAGTTCCTTATATAGATGTAGAACCCTTGGAAAAATTTCCCATTTTATGTTGACATGTCAATTAATTCCACTGTTTCAGTCATGTTTATGTAGCTATTTCTAATAAATCAACTTTTTAAATCTTCATGTATAACTGAGAACATGAAATATTTGTCTTTTTGTGCTAGCCTATTTTAGAAATTGAGTTTTTAAAGACATATTGTAAAAACTCAACAGGGACATCTCACATATTCTATTCCTTTCTGACTTCGTTAATTATTACTAGATACAGTAGAGAAATTATTCTGGTTAAGAAGAACATGGGATGGGCACATGCCTCATTTTATGTGGCTGAGAAATAATAATCATCGGAATATATTATCTTTAGCCTCTATCAAATGACACTCCAGAAGCTGATCTCAGTATCCACTAAGATTCAGTGTTACAGAGTAATTTTCAATTGTTCCATAAAGAAAACTTAGGAGTTTTCTTCCCCAGAAGGTACTAACCATTCTTCTGAACCCCAAGGTTTACTAGTCCTTAAATGTACTTCTGTTTAAATCTTTGGAACTTGTTTCTAGGCATACAGTATTCCTTCCAGGAGACACAAGGAAGAAGAAAAAGTAGAAGAGAAATTATCTGTGAAGACAGAACCATATCCTTAAAAGATTACTAAATCCCCTTACTTACCTGAGCCTGACGATCCCAAGTTGGCTCTTTATTGTCCCTACAAAAGCATCAGTTGACTCGTGTGAGTTTTTGGTAATGCTCCAGCATTTTACTGAAGCCACCAAGCATGCCAGATTTAGATGGAGATCAGGTAAACTAGCTACCAATGCCTCTCTCCTAACCTGAAAGTCTGGTCCCATGATTCTGCAAGTCTGATACTTAGGTTTCTTTGCCAGGGAACTTCCTACAGAACTGGTATATCAACCTGCAAAAGAACTCTATGTTTAGCTCAGTGTCTACATCTGGTACTACTCAAGTACTAACAAGACTCACCTCACCCAGGTAAGAAGCAAAGCAAAACTGGACCCACATCTATCATATACCAAGTGCCAAATGAAAAGCTACAGTGAATGTATTTTCAGTGCTGGACCTATACATAGTAAGGAGAGGGTATTGTAGAAACACAAGTAAATGACTTTAAGTTCAGATAAAGCATTCCATGAAACTTTATTGAGTTAACAACAAATAACAATAACCTTGAAGTAAAAATGACCAGTTAGTCCAGTTAAGCAAAGGAACACATTAGTTTTCCAGGTGGTCAGAGCAACTCTGTCTTGAAGACACAAAAGAAAGTAGTCAATTCAAAATATTACTGGTAATGTGCAATAGCTACTGGGACAAAGGATTATAAGGAAAAAGGAGAGGTGAGCTTCAGGAAGAAATAAGGGAAGTTATGAAAATTTAGGAAACATACTATTTATATGTATGTTTATATATATGCAGTCAAGTTTTTAATATATAAATGTATATTAATATTTAATATAGATAGCATTCATATATAAGTACAGACTAGTTATGATTATGAGTGCATATAGAAACTTATTTACCTAAATATTTTTAATAAAATATTGCATATATTTATACATGTATGCACACATATATAAAAGTATATTTCAGAAAATATGTAATTTTACCTCCACAAGTAAGTCATATAACTCACAGTAAATTTATCACGCATGTGTAAATCATTATAAATGTACACATGTAAATGATTTAGTTTTTTTTTAGTTCTTTGAGATTTTTGTACAAAGTTGTTTGATCATATTCACCCCCAATTCTTCCCAGATCATTACCCTTCCCTACTCAATCAACTTTGTGTCCTTTATTTAAAAATACAAACACTTTTACTGCTGTGATAAAACACCATGACCAAAGCAACATGAGGAGGAAAGAGCTTATTTCAGTTATAATCCAGGTCACACTCCATCAATGATGGAAACAAAACCAGGAACTCACTCAGTGTGGAAGTCTGGAGGCAGGAACTAAAGCAGAAACCCTGGAGGGAAAACTGTTTCCTTGCTTGATCTTTATGGCTTGTTCACCTTGATTTCTTACCACATGCCCAGAGTTGGCACAACACAGAGTGTTCTGGTTTCTCTCACATCAATAATTATCAAGAAAATACCATAGTCTTGTCTACAAACCAATCTTATGAACAGATTTTGCTCACAGTTAGAATTCCCTTTTCCCTGATATGTCTTAGTTTGTGTCAAGTTTGCAAAATCTAACCAATACAACCATCAAGACCAATTTGTGCCATTCCAATATTTTCGTATGTACAGTTTTCCACCCTAGTACAATTGACTTACCAGGGACTACACTCTTAGAGAACTCTCTCTCTCTCTCTCTCTCTCTCTCTCTCTCTCTCTCTCTCTCTCTCTCTCTCTCTCTCTCAGCAGCTATCAGTTGTCAATGACTGCTCAACTGTGGGAGACAATTCATAACAAATATCTTTCTCCATGCAGGGATTTGGTCTGACTTGAACTTGAATAGGTTTTGTACATGCTGTTGTGACCACTGTGAGTTCATATGTGCAACTGTCCTGCAGTGTCCAGAAGACTCTGTTTCCTTGTGTTAATGTAACATCTCTGGCTCTTGTACTCCTCCATTTCTTCCACAATGATCACTAAGCTTTGAGGGGGGATGGTTTAGATGTGTCATTTAAAGTTGAATATTCCTCAGTCTCTTATTCTTTACATCTTGGTCAGGTGGGAGTCTATGTGTTAATCACTATCTACTGCAAATAGAAGCTTCTCTCCTGGGGGTTGAGATAAGCATCAATTTATGATTATAGACATATGTCATCAAGAGTTAGTTTATCACTGTGGCATTTCATTTATCAAGATAATAGCATTAGGTTCTCTTCTAGATAGGTAATATGACCTATCTAGCCAGAAGTTGTAAACCAATAATTGTGCCATGTATGGGATCCACCAAACTGGAAAATCTAAAATAAATGAATGGATATATATATACATATATCTCCAAAAAGAGTTAAAGCAAGATAGAATAAATAACCCAAA